ATATATGATTTTTCTGCATTGAGCTGAAAGAGTACAAAGAGCAGGGGGAGAGAGAACAGGTATTATTTACGAGGGTTACAGTTACAGTTATTTTTCTTAAGTTATTCTGACTGAAACAATTCAGAGAAACCGAAGACTTCAGCCTCATCGAAACATTTGAGTCCACGTATGAACAAAGCAGGTGTAAAGAGGGTCACTCGTGGCCCTCACTCTGTTGTAACGCGTTACTCTGTAATCTGTTACCAGCTCAGAGCTCCCCCTTCATCCCGGCAGGTGGCTCCCCGCTACTGGACAACACATCAGGAAGGGCTGGAGCACACACACACACACAAAGCCTGAACTGTACATGAAGCCTCCATTTCAGTTACCTTCATGATCACTTTTGGTTGGATAACGGAGAACTGATGGATGTTTATGGAGGTGTGTTCCTGCATGTGGAGTTGCTTTAGGATGGCAGTCAGAGAAATCAGTTGATTCAGTGAAAGTCTATGTAACCGTCTGTATTTTAGGACACATTATGTGTGTGTGTTATCGTGTGTATTCTACCTCACACTTCCAGACGAAACACATGGCCTGTCAGCATTAGAAAAATGTAAAAAAATAAAAATAAAAGCATGTACAACATTTTCAGCCAGGAAAAAACAAAAAAACAAAGAAAAACAAACTTGTGTGTTCTTTAAATCTCTCCACTAGCTCGAGTGGTGTGTTTGCCCTCCAGATGAAGTACAGGTTGCCTTTGTCTCAGCCTTTTGTTGTCTGCAGCCCTTCCACAGAAAGCTGTGGATTTAATGGTTTCTGTGCTGTGGTGTAATCCTGCCTCAAATGGAAGAGAGTTCAGGGATGAGATCGTGTTTTATAGATAATTTATAGCTGACTGAACAGAGCACATTTGGGCATATGCTAGCACAAATGCACACCTTTTTTTTTAAAACATATTTGTTTGAATGCACCGCAAATAAACACTGATTTTAGATTTCTGTTAGACATCTTTTAACATTCGGCTGTTAGAAACGTAAAAAATCTCCAAAATAAATCTCTTCCAGGATCTAGGACTGTGACTACAAACCCTTAGATTTTTTTTCTCCGTGTACAGAAAGTAAAATCTAAGTCTAAAGTGTCTCCTATATCTTCTCTTTATCAGCCTCCACTGCCTATTTATTTTAAAAATTGAAGAAGGGAGTATGAGAAGATTTTTTGTGTAAATTAAGGTATTTCAGTGTCAAGAGAATTAAAAAAGAATATTGTGATAATATATTTTTAAAAAAGTTATGTTTTGTGCAGTGCAGTGTGCTGTCCGTTAAATTGTTTAGTATGTGGGACACAAAGTTGGTTTCATGTAAAAAGTGTTGGATCAGAGCAGGTGGAGCTCGTTCACAGATCGGCTCTTAACTTTCTCTTGTTTTTATCCCAAACAAATCATTCAGTCTGCTTTAGTTTGTTTTCTTCGCTGAGCTCTCAGGTGAGTGTGCACACGAATGATTTGCATGTGTTCTCTGGCCCAGTCAGATTGTGTCCCTGCTGGCCTCCAAACACTCTGTAAAAGAAGCACATTTTAGTGTGTATGTGTTTTGGGTATGTCCAACCTGCAATCCACCTGGTTTGGGAATGCCTCTTTATTCCCCTGGAAGAGCTGGAGGCGGTAGCCAGGGACTGGCTCATGTTGTCCCAGTGACCTGAAGCCTTGGATAAGTGGTAGAAGATGGGTGGATGGTTGGATAGATGGAAGGAAGTGTACAGCCAGTGTTAGAGTGAACCTCTCAGATGTAGCTGCAGGTGTATAAGTCACCCAAAATGAGTGTCATGCTTTGTTTGTTGCCCTGTCTGATGTCTTTTCTCTCAGATGGACTGTCTCTTGATGCCAAACAGCCTGGAGAGCAGTTTAATGGCTGTAAAAACTTCAAATGATGCTGTTTGTTGCTTTTTGTTTTGTGGCCTACTGT